CTTTGATCTAGAGAAACAATAACAATGAAATATTTATCTGTGCATTGGGGACTTAGTGACATTCCAATGGGTGAGTGTTGCCAGCCACAAAGGAGATGCAAATTGGATCCAACAGAACTGCTTGCATACTTTCAACTAATGCCCCCTCCAATCCGGATTTCTACTATGGTGTATGATTAATACACACACCTACTTATAATAGCTGGTTCCTAATGTTCTTTCTTTTGTCATGCTCTTAAAAACTGCAGATTGTATCACACCAAGTAACAGAATGTTGGGTGGGAGTGATAGCCAGGAGGGGGCTTAGTCAGCTGCCAATAGCTCCCCATTTAATTCTATGGAGGCAAAGGAAATAGGCTGCTCTTGGAGATACTGATGGCTGATGTTCATTCCAAAGGGAAAACCGGAACACAGGAAGCTGACTGAGACCAAGTCAGGCCTTTGGTCCATTCAGCTTAGTGTTGCTGATACTGATACTGACACTTGCTCTCAAACATTTTAGGATTTCTTCCAAAGGCGTAAACCCAAGACTTTCTCCATAAGTCCCCTATGGCCATGCAATGTGGTAGTTGGCACAAAGTTGCAATAAGGGCAAAAACTGCTTCCCTGACTTGGCCTTCATTAACAATAATCCACATCTCTGTATGTTGTTTGACAGGGACCATTTACGACAATTTCCAAAGGGGCCCACAAAATACCCCAGAGGTCTCCTTTGGCACTCACATACACTGCCTGATTCTACTACTTTGGACTGTGTTCCTTAAGCATCACTTATAGAACAGGAGAGCTGTGCAAGGTATAAAACATTATCTGAGACATTACTTGCCCTCATCTCCTCCCTGCCATCCACCTAGGTGCAGGGAGAAGGCAAACCTGGCCTCCAGGCATTTTGGGCTACAGTTCCCCTAAGCCCCAGTCAGCATGCTAGATTTGATGGGTGTTGTAGTTTAAAACAGGTGAAAGGCATCAGGTTGCCTACCCTGATCCCTCAAATGTGAGCAGTGCTAGCAGCATGGAACCCTAGCCATGTAGCCAGTGGCAAGAAATGTTGGAATTAGTAGTCCAACCATATCTGTTGCCCACCCCTGACAAAGACACATGGCTAGTTCTTGTACTCTGCAGCACAACCATTGCCAGTGCTGGGAGGGGGGGATGTTGTACATGGGCAAGAAAGGGGGTGGACAACATGCACAGGTGGAGGATACAGGGCCCTGAGCAGCCATTGCTGGCCCTCGCGGAGGGAGATCTCAAGCTGCACCTGGTGAATTGGTAAGATGTGGCAACGCTTACTCACTTGTCATGCTGCTTAATGGCTGTGCTGGGTCTATGCCACTTCAGTCTGGAGGAGGTGAGAAATTGCTTGGTTCAATATTCCCCCATGTTGTATTTTTTCCCCCAAAGACCCAACAGTAAACTTACAATCAAAAAGCCGGCACATACACAGACACCCTCCCACCCCACACTCACCGTAATGGTTCACTAAAGAATAACATGGTAAACATGGTGGCCCAGCCTTTTTTTAAAGTGGCTGCTTTTTAAACAAATAAGGTTAGGCACCGTGGTTCTGCTGATTAGCATTGTCCCTATCTCCACACACTGCTGAGATTGCTGAGCAACTGTGGGGGACAACCAATGGCTAGCCCTATACCTGAAGTCTTTAACAACAGTCAAAATCAGCAAGTGAAGACTTTTTGCTGTGTTACACTGAACTTGCTGGAGATAAGTGGTCCTCAAATTTTGTGTGTCAGGTTGCTGCTCTCTATAAAAGGTGACAACCTAAGAGATATGCCATCATGTATGTCACGTCACAACCTGCTAGGGATCCAGAAAAAAAGACAATGGAAGATCCAAGGGGAAGAAGACAACATTGACTGCATGAAAGCTTCCAGCTTCCATCCACACAGCCATGCCTAAGGAATATCACTTTCCTTATGCTTTTAACTGCTGTACAACAACTGGCAGAAATGTAGCAGATGAAGTTTATCCCAATGTAGAGATGCCATGATGGGTGAAACATCTGTAGAGTGTCTACTTCCCATATTATCACTACAGTGCAGGAGCCAGGTAGTAGGTACCCCTAGTTAGCCAAGCCATATGACAGTAGTGAGATCTGTTCTCTACCCCTACAATGTTCTCCCCACTTTGATAAAAGCCACCCCCATCTTTGAATTTGAGATTCTAAACTTAATTAGCAATAAGGCTATAATTGGAAAAGGCCAGGGGGCTGTAAATGCTGTCATTGAAATTTCCCTACTGCTAATTACGCTAAACGTTTGTAAGATCACCAGAGTTTCTGCCCTGTAGACCATCACTGTCTTTCTTGAACCACACTTCAGCCTCTCAAGAAGTGTGGGGTGCCAGTGACTTAAAAAACTGATTGGAAGAAGTCTCTGCAAAGCAAGGTCCCTTTCACTGGGGTAGGCCAAATGGGAGGTCAGGGCTGGCACCACCATGAAGTAAGGCAAGATGGCTGCTTCAAGCAGAGAGATCTGGCCTAATGAGGACAGTCCACAGGGAAGGACTTCTGTGCATGCTGCACTTAAGTGAATGGAAGCCGTGGGAAATCACAGTTCCCATCCTCCCAATGGTCCTTCCTCCCAGTGGAAGTCAGTCAGGCTGAGAGAGGGACTGAACTGAGGATGTCCAAAAGGGTCAGCTACAGAAGGTGGCAATAGTAATTAGTGATGTCTCCCAAGGCCTTTTATCTATTCCACAGAGCCCTATGACCTTCCATTATTGGTGGCAATGGACATTTTCTTTCTTCATAGGGTGCAAATTAGTTGAATGTATTTTATTTGCGATAATTTGGATGAGAAGTTAATTGGCTCCCTTTACCTCCTGTGCAGTTTAACCAAATCCTAGTAATTTCTTATATATCTGCACTTGCAGATTTATGGCCTAGGAGCCTGGGCCCTGAATCTTTTACATGCCTAGCAGCACCCCCTAGTGCCAACATTGGGGCACTAGTGCCAACTTGGGGCCCTGGCACTAGCAGCACCCCCTAGTGCCAGGGCCCCAAGCCCACCAGAGGGCTCAGTATTCTACCCCACCACCATTTCTGCTTTGCAGAAGCTCAGATTCAGCAGACAAGACTTTGCAGTATGCATGACCTTCCTCTCCAGGTTAGCAGAGAGGGAAGTAATTCAGGCTGCTGTGGCCAAGCCACTGCTGCCACGCAAAACCTGGAGCCATCAAAAGGGCGGTGTTGTGTGCGCACATTCTGGCAAACTTCAGGGATACTCATGAGAGGCTGACCATTTTGCCTGGATTGGCATCTCAGATTCTGAGAATGAGATGTATGCAGACGAGTTGGCCTATCCCAGCAGGGTTGATAACTCAGACCCTGATAATGAGATGACTGTTGAAATGGACCCAAGACCCTGGGTACCCTCTGTGCCCGCTAAGGAAGAGATTAGTTCAAGTGTAGCCATGGGGCCTGGTCCACCCACCCGTGGGAACAAGGAAGAGCAACAACATCCTGAGGGGGGAGATTTGGAAATGAGGAGTCTATTGGATGGGGAACTCCAGCTTCCTGAGGAGGTGGACCCAATAGTCCATCATCATTTGGAGGGTGGCCCAATTGGGATCTCAGAGGAAGAAGCGAAGGTGTGCCCAGTTCCACAGTGCACAGGGACAGATTCAGAAGTACTCATAAGCAAAGCTTTGGGTGAAGAAGGCCAGAGAGGGTTCAGTATTTTGCTTTGTATATGCTCAGAGACTTACATGTAAAATAAAGACATTTGGCAAAGAAGCACTACTGAGAATGTTACTGCTGGGAGGAAGAACTCAACACACAACAGGCTGCACAGTTCAGGAGAGATAGAAAATTTGGTTTTCCAGCCAAGCCCAATGCTCTCCCCTTAGCACCACACCAGTACTGTGGCAGGGTTGCCAACTTTTCAACCATTCTCTGTAGCTCTGCTTGATGTGTTGATAATAGCAAACAATGATTCATCTTCTTGCTGAAAAAAATCAATTCAGTATAAGCAAATGTAGAGTAATGCAAGTTGGGGCAAAACCCCCCAAATTCAAGTATACACAGATGGGATCCAAACTAGCAGTGCCTAAGCAAGAAAGGGATGTTTGGGGTAATGGAGGACAGTGGATTAAAATGTTGCCCTGGTGTTGAGCTGCTGTGGCAAAGGCAAACTTCATGCTAGGCATGATTAGGAATGGAACAGAAAATAGAACTACCAAACTCTTACTTACCAAAATCTTACTTGCACTTGGAATATTGTGTTCAGTTCTGGTCACCTTACCTGAAAAAGGACAATATTGAGTTGGAAAAAGTACAGAGAAGGGCAACAAGAATGATCAGAGGGTGGAGCAACTCCAACAACTGGGACTGTTCAGCTTAGAAAAAGGATGAGTAAGGGGACGGATGATAGAGGTGTTTTAAATAATTCATGGCGTGGAGAAAGTAAAGAGGGAGGCATTTTTCTCACTCTCCCATAACACTTGAGCCCAAGGTCATCCCATGAAGCTGACTGGTGGGAAGTTTGGGACAGATGAAAGGAAGTACTTCTTCACATGGTTAAATGATGGGATTTGCTGCCTGGGGAAGTGGTGATGGCTGCCAGTCTGGATGGCTTTAAAAAGGAATTGGGCATATTCATGAGGAAGGAGGCTATCAGTGGCTACTAGCCTTGCTGGCCCTGTGCTACCCCCTGTACCAGAGGTGTCCTGCCACCATGCACCAGTTGCTGAGGCGCTTGGGCAGTGGGAGGTCTTGAGGGATCCTGTAGGCAGCTGGTTTGCCACCATGTGTATGGAGTGCTGGACCTTTGGTCTGATCCAGCATAGCGTTTTTTAATGCTCTTAAAAAGCATCAGTTGCTTATACCTGCAAATCAAGTGTCTGTTACAACAGTATGCCAGTGCTTTGTTTTGCCTTTTTTTCTGGACAGTTGCTAACTCTCCTCCAGGACTTAACTGGAGTCAGGGCTCAGCCCCGAAAGAATTCATTCTTTCCCCCACCCACCTACCTTTCTGCAAGAGCTCAAACCAAGGAGAAAATGGAGTGTGTGTGCACCAGAACTTTTCTCATGCACCTTTCATTCATGTCACAGATGTGGGCACAGGAGAATACTTTCTAGAATGTGCTTTACCTAGAGCTGGCAATTAAATTGACCTGAGCTGCTCTTGTGCTCCTATGTTTGAGACTGAGGGATTAGCAGTTTCAGCTTTTCAAGACATGGAGAGAAATAATTTCCAGGACCTAGCAGCTGATAGTATGGTTATTCAAAGTACAGATCTGCATTTTCTCAAACTGGTACTCCTTGGATGTGTTAGACCACTTCAGAAAGTGTCAACCACCTTATTTATTCTATATTTATATCTAGATTGTCTGTCTGGGGTGTGGAAATTTATTGGATCAGCCTGGACAAGCATTCAGAGAGCTTTAATTATAAATTAAACACCAATGCAAGTGCTGTAAGAGCACACACACACACCACCAAAAGATAAACATAAAATAAAAATAATTTCTCAAAAGATTCTCTCTTCTAGCATTTTATGTACCTCAGGCTTGAAGTCTTCTCTGAAAAAAAAATTCTGGGTGTTGGTTTTAGACCAGTCTTTTAGACCAAGCTGGTACCTGTCAGGTGTGCTGGACTATAAGTCCTACCAGCACCAGGTTGGGAAAAGCTGCCTTGGACCTAATTGCAAAGGTGGTGTTTTGGGAAGTGCAGGAGGTAAACAGAGCAGTTCAGAATCCCAGCTGCTGCTCATCCATAGAATTCACTCAGTGACCTTGAATGGCTCACCTTCTTTCTTTTTCAGTGCCTACCCAAGAAACTTTGTGCAAGAAGGTAAGGGGATAATCCAGTGTATGCTAGCCCTGAGCACCTTACAGAAAAAAACAAGAGGAGGTGCTTGTAATCAACTGTAATCTCTGCTGATACCCAGTGGGGGTGTGTCAGTGGTTAATTTCTGAAAAAAGGTATATAGGATGCCCCCCACCTACTAGAACTTGCACCCTTTTGAGAAAACCTGCCTTTTAGTTCCAGGTATTTGGCTGGAGCTCCACTTATTCAGGGGTATGACAAAATACACCTAAATATAGTCGCTGCCACCATTTTCATGTCACTGGATGCAGCCACAAGAAGATTCTAGGGCTGTGCTCACCTCTCCTATGTGACTGAGACCCCCTTAAGCTACAGGAAAGGGTGGCAGCCTTCTTAAATGGTTAGCTTTTGGATCCAGTTTTCACATCTTTCAAATGGAAATATTTATGATCAGGATTACTTTTTCTTCCATGGCTCTATTTCTCCTGTGCCTTTAAGAATAGCTGCTCAAGTTTT